TGAATATTGTTACTATTTATGAACAATTAAATTTCTAGCTAGTATATTTTGATGCACCCATTTTGTGGTGTCATGCAGTTAAGGATGTCTACCATAGATTACTACTACAAATACTACTACAACTAAATACTATAGTACACAAAAGCATGACTGTCAACCTTATTTTGTACAAGAATAGGTGTCGCCGGGAGCACACATACAAGCAATTACGTAGTATTATAGTAGTATAGGAAATCTCAAGGCCGTTCAGCGAGCTATGGATATGGCCTCCTTGTAGATGGTGCGACGACTTGGTAAGCGATGCAGGAAGTCGTTGTGTGCATTTGGTTGAATGGATTGGTAGACCTTTTTTATAGAATAAGGGTGACAAATGAGCACACAGTCCACCTGATGGTAAATGGATGCTGTGGCCCCTAGATATCTTCAGTATTCCTCGATTAAGAATCAAAACACAGATGCGTTGTCACCTGTGAGGACTAAGATGGAATGCCTCGTTTCCAGTAAAAAGGGTCTCCGGATCTCTACACTCACCTTACAAAACACAGCAGTATTAAGCTGCTATTTTACGCTGGTATTCTGTGAGAGCGTGGTCCTTCTCCGATCGAACCAACCCATTACTGCTGAACTTTTTATACGTGGTAGAGCCACGCTGCAGCTATATTACGGTTGTAGCACGAAAATTGTGATGGGGATCGGATGGAAAACTCACGTAGTGTAGTTACGAGATTTTGAAAGGAAATGCATCTTAATTATTAACTTTTCCTTTTATTGTATAACCTACAGATGCATCACCCTTGAGCACTAAAGTGGAATACCTTACAACCTGTTATTATACTGGAATATTAATTTTAAATTATATAAAAGTATAGCTATTCTGATGAAAATAAATCATATGATCTCATCTAGCAGAAGAAACTTTATATCAATGTGAATAAGCGTTCGCAATTTGCCACCATAGTCCTGCTGCAATTAGCCGAGACCAACTATTTTATCCACACACTAGTAACGCTACGTCGAACTTACTGCAAGATTAGTGCTGCGTGCCTCGATCTAAGTCTAAATTGAACATAATAACTGTCGGGACAAAGGCGGGGAACTTGCCTACCGCGGTCTGCGGTCGCACCTTACTTCGCTAACAATTTGCGGCCTTGTCGAGCTATGTCGTCGTCTTTAGTTGATACACCACGTTGTATAGTTTGCTATTATTTTAGCTCTACCTATCAAAGCATAAGAAAGTACTAATACTGTGCCTCGTCGCTTTTGGTTATTGCAAAAATACTTAATTACCATCAGCTCTAGGTATATAGCAATGGCTGTCTGGTACTGGTAAGCGCTATGTTAAGTGACGATAGAGTAGCCAACTGCTGAAACATTTATACGTGGTAGAGCCACACTACAGCTATTACGATTGTAGCGTGAATGGGTCGGCTCGACCGGGGATGGACCACGCTGTTACGGAATACCAGCGTAAAATAACAGCTTAATACTGCTATGTTTCATATGGTGAGTGTAGAGAACCGGAAACCCCTTTTACTGGAATCGAGGTATTCCATCTTAGTCCTCAGGGGTGACAATGCATCTGCATTTTGATTCTTAATTGGGGTTAAATGGAGATGTCTATGGGCCACAGCATCCACTTACCATCAGGTGGACTGTGTGCTCGTTTATCACCCTTATCCTATAGAAAAATGCATGTCGATGGATACAGGTGGCTTAGGACCGGGCTTTGTGTCAATCAATTTGGGAGGCCTATGCTCTACAGTGGACTCGTAGTGAGTGCTAGGTCTTACTATATGTGACATACACCATATTTAATTAGGCGAAGATAATCTATGGAGTAATCGGGTTGAGACTGGATGACTTCATCGATTATAAGTCGAGCGACAAAGTTTCGATCGATTTTTAGAACTACCTTTATTAAATTGTCAGGATCAATTTAAATAAAACTTGTATTTTATCCATTTTGCACATTAAAAGGTTCTCTCTCAGAGCGTGTAAATTATTGAAGTTTCTACGTACCAGTGAACGAACGTAACCAAAAAGGATTGGTATTATTGGTTCCGGCCCTATAGTGGCCAGAGCCGATCCACTTCTGGCCAGTTCATCCACTGCATCGTTGCATCTAGATCCACCGTGTCCCTTAATCCATTGCAGAGACATTGTTGTGCTTACGTAGCTCATTTAATCGTTGATGGCATTCATATATTAGTCCCGAGTTCACCACATTACAACTCAGAGCTTGTAGTACCCATACTGTCGGTCAGTATTCTGATGGAGAAGTCTTTTACCTTCCTAGCATCTATTTCTATGGTCGCTTGGATGATACCCATATATTCCGCCTGGAAAACTGTGTTATGGCTACCCAGCGGTGTACATATGTGGATATTACGGTCTTCAGAGAAAGTTCCAGATCCTCCACCTTCATTTGTTTTACAACCATCCGTGAAAACTCTAAGCTCTTTTGGATTTAATCCCTCCGGCTGGTCAGATTCATTTAATTGTACCTTATGCTTCTTATCGAATACAAATTGTTTTGGGATGTTATCGTACTTTGCTTGTAAGATAGGAATTTTTGAGTAAATTCTATCAATTATACCTGTTTGGGGGACTCTACTCTTACTTAAAAGATTTAGGGTCTTGAGTCTAATGGTAGCCAAAGTTGCCTCTTGTTTTATATGTAGGTGAAACGGGGTTAGCTCCAGTACATCTTCTAAAGCTGCTGTCGGTGTAATTCTTATGCAACCCGTGGCAGCTATACATACCGAACTCTGGTAACGCTGAAGCTTTTTTATTTTGGTGGCTTCATTAGTTTTGGTCCACCATACCAGAGAGCCCTATGTGGTCATGGGCCGAATTACAGTTTTGTACAGCCACAGTATAATTTTTGGCGTCAAACCCCATTATTTGCCAATCATGTTTCTGCATTGCCAAAAAGTTATACTATCTTTATTAATTTTGTTTTCTATGTGTTTATTCCAGTTAAATTTACTGTCTAAAAGGTAAGACCTAAGTATTTTACCTCAGAGGATAGGTGGAGTTTTGTGCTGAAAAGACGTGGGATAATTATTCCGTATTCGTTTTTGTGTGAACTACTAGAACCGTTTTGTTTGGATTAACGGTTAGGTTATATTCCCTGTACCATCTCTCCCTCCGCTATACGGAGAGCCGCTTGAGTCAGGTCGCACACCATGCTTGGTGTCTTTCCAGAGACCAGTGTTGTCAGATCATCTGCATAACCTTTTTTTATAGGATAAGGCGACAAACGAGCACACAGTACACCTGATGGTAAGTGGTTGCTGCGACCCATAGACATCTACATCTACCCTCGATTGCAAATCAAAATGCAGATGTGTTGTCACCCGTAAGGACTAAGATGGAGTGCCACGTTTCCAGTAAAAAGGGTCTCCGGTTCTATACACTCACCATACGAAACACCGCAGCGTTAAGCTACTATTTTACGCTGGTATTCTGTGAGAGCGTGGTCCTTTCCCTGTCGAGCCGACCCATTCGTGCTACAACTATGCTACTAATATAACTGCAACACGTTCTACCACGTATAAAACTACCCACCTACCTACTGTGTAGATTAGCATTTAATTTGTTGATGAGTTAATTAATGACCATATTCCAAAGGAGAGGTGAAAGAACCCCACCCTATAGGCATCCTTTCATGATCTGAATTATTAGAGATTAAAGCATTCTTTACTGTTCGTGTACTCAGGATGTTTACTATCCAGACAATCAGTACCGGTTCAACTTTATACTTAGGGCACGTATACACTTAGGGCAGGCACCTTTTATTCTGGAGAAGTTTGTTCTGTCAAAAGCACCTTCTATGTATATGAAGATCTAGACATATTACTTTGGTTTGGATAGCCTCTTCAATCTTTGTTATTAGGTGGTGAAGTGCCGATTCTGTCGATTTACCTAAGCTATTGGCGTGTTGTTTGTCGTTGTAGCGGTAAGTTAATTAGCGCCGACCCTTTCAACTCCCGTTCACGGATCCCCTCCATCGTCTTTATGAGAAACTTCCGGCGCTAATCCCTTTACGATAAAGCCGGCAATACATGTTGGCCAAGCCTCAACTAACGAGAGCAGAGACAAACTGATACAAGGCGAGTGAGTACTACAGTCTACATGTTGACCAAGTTTGAATGAGTGAACATACTGACATGGTCGATTAATGGTACGTTTACACGCTTGCCAAGCCTTGGCAAACTGCAAACAGTCCCAAGCCTCCACAAATCTCATTTGGCGTTTGAAAGGCGTTTATACGCTTGTGAATGCGTCAGTCTGCAATATAAATCCAAGCATGGCGGACACAGAACTTGCGACGGCTATTGCATTAGGTTTAACGTACTTTTATTTGAAATGTAAGCAAAGCGAAATAAAAAAAAGGAGAGCTCGACGACAGCGAAGATGGTGGATGAAAAAGATTCATCATAATCGTACCAGGTAACTACTATTTTGATTTAACCATTATCTGTTGCAGTTGAGTTATGCCACAATACTTACGATATATTTTATTTGTTACAGACAATTTATAGAAGAGAAATTTACTGAACTTTTATATGAACTATCTGGAGAGTTTGATAACTTCTGCCGAATGAGCTATTCTGATTTTGAGTTTTTACTGCAAAAAATTTCACCAATGATATCCAAGCATGATACAGACTTCAGAGAAGCTATACCAGCCAAATTTCGTCTTGCCATTACGCTACGATTTTTGGCATCTGGTGATTCTTACAAAAGCCTTCACTACTTGTTTAAAGTATCTGTCTCTATGATATCAATAATCATTCGTGAAGTTTGCCGAGCTCTTAATAAAATTCTAAAAGGATCTAAAGGATCTTGTTAAAGTAGGAATAAAACAAAACATTATGTTATATATTTATTTAGAATTTAATAGAATCATAGGAAATCTGTTCTATGAATGTATGTTAGCCGACTGCTTTATTGTTTAATTATTTATTAAATTAAATAAGAATTATGTCGACGAATCAAATAAGTGTGGATGGTGTGGTAACCGTACTTGTACGGTCTCTTATCAGAGAGTCATCCTCTGTCTGATCTGTATCTTCTTTTATTTGTTGTGATTGCTGCAAAAAAATAATATACTTAAACTTACACTTCATTTACTTTCTTTTTACAGATGCCCACCACAGCAGAAGGATGGCTTAATATAGAAGAAGGATTCAGGACTAAATTTCCACATTGCATAGGTGCATTGGATGGCAAGCATGTAGTAATTGAAAGCCCAACGCATAGTGGAACAGAGTATTTCAATTATAAGAAAACTTTTAGCATTGTCCTTTTGGCTTTAGTGGATAGCAAATACAAATTTGTATTCGCAGTCAAGGAAGAATAAGTGACGGCGGCGTCTTTAATAATTGTTTACTATGGAAAAGAATAATTAGAAACGAGATAGATTTTCCACCACCACTTCCAGGATCGAATATTAATATTCCATACGTGTTTTTAGCTGACGGTGCTTTTGCATTGAGTCAACACGTAATGAAACCCTACCCTGGAAACCATGAAGTAGGCTCACTAAAAAAGTTATTTAACCAAATTTTATCTAAATCTCGAGTTGTAGTTGAAAATACGTTTGGAATTTTAACCTCAGTTTTCAGAATATTCAGACGCCCTATCAATTTAGAACCACAAACTGTAACGGAATTTACGATGACTTGTGTATTACTACATAACTTTTTGAGAACAAGTAAAAGTTCTTCAAATCGATATACTCCTCAGAGTTCGTTTGACGTATATGACAGTAGTGGAAATATGGTTACCCCTGGTTCATGGCGTAGAGATAACAGCAATGCATTGCAAAATTTGCCACAAATACCACGAAGATCTCCGGTGAACGCCAGAGAAGTCAGGGAAGAATTTACTTCATATTTTAATAGGATTGGATAAGTTGATAAAAATGTATAAATAAATGTAGGTAACCAACGGTGTTTTTTATTTACTTACTGTTTCGGTGTTTATCCCTTCATTACAAGTATATACTAGTAGTAAAAATGACTCCATGGTTTCGTAAGCATACCAAGTTGGATTGTATATTTCTTCGGCACCTAAAATAAAATAAAAACATCGAAACTTAGAGCGAGATAGTTGCGGAATAATCGAGAAACTAACCAACGCTTTTAAACATAAGTTACACCTTGCTAAGCAGACTATCAAAATAATTATAAATGTATCGTAGGAACATACCTGCGCCAGAACGCATAGATTCACGTTTTTTTTTTCAAGTGCTTGCGAAAAGAAGTCTTCAATTTCCTTTTTATTTTTTATTTCTTTTACTGGCCTTCCAGTAAGTTCAGCAAGACGAATCCATGCATCTGCTTGTTTCTTCTTATCTTTATGATTTGCATCTTTCGGATTCCAGATGCATGGTTCCATTTGGTTATGTTCCAGAAACGAAAGACTCTCCTCATTCGACTAGCAACTCATTTTTTATTTATTTTTTGTAAAATCAAGCAAGCGTGTACTCGCTGCGAGCTCACAATGGCTACTAAACGCGGACCAACATGTAAATGCATCGCAAGCGCTTGCCGCAAACGGCCTTTGATCTGCGTAAAAAAACCGACACTCGACTGGATCGGAAGCAAGCAGGCACAAGCCCACGCAAGCCAAACCAAACGCCCTTTTTACATGCTTGCGATTGTCGATCCTTGCCAAGTCTTGGCAAGCGTGTAAACGTACCATAACATGTGGATACGACTTGTCTAGTGCAGGCGAGCGCCTTTGATTTGTGCAGAAAAACCGACACTGTTCCGAAATGAGACGAGTCGTGGCGAGCGATCCCGAGTGGTGGCAAGGCACGCCAAACGAACCATATACATGTTGGTGCTCGCCTGCACTCAGCCAGCTAGGTGAGCTACGACGAGCAATAGCGAGGCTATACAAATATGGTGTCTATACGTTGGTACTCGCCTTCGCTCGGCCAACCGGCATAACCAGTTTTGGCATAAATTGGTTAGGTACCGAGGTGATCCCGCCGAATAATGTTCGGTTCGGTAAGTTTTACCGAACTCACGGCCGAATATTTGTATTCGGTGAGATCCATATTCAGCCCATCTCTACTAAATATCTGTCTACCTCTCTATCTACTCAACAATTTACTGGCGAGAAAACTGAGCATGGAACAATATCAGCTTCTGGAGAGGGCTCGTGTTCTTCTGGAGAGAAACTTTGCCTATGGGGAAACTGTTCAAACATATCCCAACTTACAACTCGTCACCGCATACAATCAGACAATGTAATGGTATGTAATATATAATATAAATGTAATGTAACCAAACTAACAACGAAATTGTACGCGATAAATGAACGAGATGAGTCTAGGGAACCCAACATATATGGACAGAAACCTACACTAGCTGCTATTCCAGTGGACCTAAACAACACAGGTGGCCTAGTATCATACATAAAGTTGTGACACTAGGCCTCCTGGTGTCCAACACGAGTGATGTTGTGAATTAAAATCAAGGTCAGCGAAGGATTAACAATGGCATCATGGGAGTAGTTCGGGGTTTTCAGTGAAAAGTATTAATAGACCAGTTGGAACACGGAAAGTTACCCAATAAAGTCCTACGCCAATTTGATGACCGCTTTATCAGCAAAAGTTACCATGATGAAAATGGTTGGGTAGGCATAACTCCAATGAGTGTATCATTTAGAAAAATAGAAAAATAAATAGAACGTAATGACTCTTAATAGGTTTGGCCCTTACAATGCAAAAAAATGTCTAGTACTACAGTCGATAAGACGATCATATATTATCTTGGACCCAAAACATTCGCCAAAGAGCAAGCTTACGTGAATCTTCAACAAAGAAAACTCTTCAACAACCCACATAATAACAGAGCGTTGAAAAAGTTATAGCGATTAAGAAGTACGTTACGCTAGTCACAAATCGAGGAAGCCAAAGAACAAAGCTGATCTTTGACCTAGATCTTTGTTATGGCATTAACCTATTTTTTACTCTAAGAACCCAAATATGCTTTGTGAGCAATGTATACGCTTTTACAAAAATATACCAGAAAATGTATAAAATTTGTCATTAAACAAGTTTAAATATTTTATTAAAGAAAGATTGTACAAAAAGGGTAATTATAATATCAAAGAATACATAAATGAAAATAGCCCTCGGGAGTGAGGTGATTAGTGTTGCCAAGTCTAGCAAGTAAAATTTCGGGACGGAAGGTAAAAATTATCGGGAATTTGGTTTTCACATCGGGACAATAACAATGGCTAAAGAATATATGATTTTTTGTAGCCTTTTTGATTGATTTGCTTTATTGAGAGTATAGGGTAGCTCAGATGGTTAACACACACTGTAAATATCACAGTATGCGAGGAACCTGGGTTCGATCCCCACCGGCACCATTGAATTTGTTAATTGCAATTTTAAGTGCTGATTTACCACGTGCTCAGCGGTGAAGGAAAACATCGTGAGGAAACCTGCATGTCTGAGGAATTAAAAAAAATCTTTCGAAGACATGTGAAGTTTGCGAACACACATTGGGGTTTGGGGCAGCGCGGCGGACATGTCCTTGCCTCTCAGAAATGAGGGGAGGTCTGTGCCCAGCTGTGGGACGTATATAGGCTGCAACTTTACTTTACTTTTATGCTTTATAATTATTATTCGGGTCTCATCTCATGAACGAATAACTTTTCATTCAAACATCGTAAAAACTGCATTTTTTTTTGTTTTAGGCAAATCAAAACATTTTTGAACTATTTGTTTTATTGCAGTCTCTGAATTTTTTAAATCACTCATTTTTTAATATAACTCTGCTTAAAAGTTTTGTGTTTTTTTTTTCGACTAGTGAGACAATGTCGTAGTAAAAATATTTAATATAGTAGTAGCTAACAGATGTAATCATTTTTCGTCTGTCAAAATTATGGATTAAAGTATAGCCTAAGAAGGTTAGTGAAAATCGGGACATTTGGCGTCCCGATCAAGGGTGAATCGGGACGTGTCACCAGACCCTTGAAAATCGGGACGTCCCGCGCAATCGGGGCACCTGGCAACACTAGAGGTGATCGCAACCATGCTGGTTCTATAAAAATTCTTTTGAAAATTGGTAAGTACAAACAAAATTTTTGTAAAGTGAAATATGTTTAAAAAAAACGTCCCGCTGGTTTTTTGGCTGTTTCTTCCCAGGGACAGTTATTTTCCGAATCAGTAGTAAAAATGACTCAATAAGTATTATGCAATAATCCCTATTAAACAAAAATCATTCATTTCATTTCATTTTATCGATAACTGAATCTAAATCGATCAAACTTAATCGGATTTACCTCCAAATCAATTTGGGCATTACATTCGTTTGGACAAATATTACAGCACCCTGTGGTGCGTTAGCACCATAAAATCTATTTAAAAAGCATCAACACACAAAACCTTTACAGAAAACCGTATCTAAATCGGTCAAACCGTTTTAGAGATACATGGCAACATTCGTTTACACAAATATTATTATTGCAGCACCACCATAACACCTAACTGAGAACCATCGCCGATGACTCACGAGCCCGTATCTCAGTCGGTTAAACCGTTTCAGACAATAATGGAAACATTCGTTTACACACACAAACTAACATCCTCTTACCCTAAACGCATGGTAGAGCCAAGCTGCAGCTATATTATGATTGTAGCACAAATGGGTTGGCCCGATCGGCGAAGGACCACGCTCTCACAGAGTACCAGCATAAAATAGCAGCTTAATACGCTGTCGATGGATGTAGAGAACTGGAGACCCTCATTACTAGAAACGTGACATTCCATCTCAGTCCTCGAATGTGACAATGCATATGCATTTTGATTCTTAATTAAAGATAGATTTTTAATCATAGTACTAAATTACTTCACACTATACACAATTTTTGTCACCGATTAAGATTACTACCTCGTTGATCTAGTAACCGTAAGCGCGACTGCTGATCACAAGGTTCTGGGTTCGAATCCCAGGTCGGACCAAAATAAGTTATTGGGTTTTCTGTCAAGAAATTCTTAGCAGCAGCCGGAGTCAAAAAGTTTGCGATGTTTCACGTTAACGAAGTTAGTCCTGCGCCTGATCTCTATCCGGTCGTGTCGGATTTCTGTCCTATCGAACTATGAGAGTAGGAAAATTAGAGGATGCGCCTGTATTTGCACACACTCGCGCACTACAATCCTGTCCTGCGCGGATGGATAGTCTCCGTTCAGACTTACCGCCATTAGCGAAATACAGTCTTGAGGACCTTCATATTTTGGTAACAAATATCTAAAAGGTCATTACCATCTTCTGGCATTAACAACATTTTGTTAACATTTCCTTTAGTCTACTTTTACAACGTTTATGTAACGAGGTAAAAACATGTATGCAGACATAAATTATCACAAAATTGTTTTTTTTTTTTAATTAATTTAATAAAAATATTGACAATACCAACACATCAAAGACTACCTAGAAGGCATAATCTCGATACTTAAGAGAACAAGACTGCTCTGTCTAATGGAAATGCAATATTTTCTGATTCATTATGTTTGCATGCTACTATCATAAAGTAAGAGTTTATTTGCCATATTCTCCCATCATCCTTAATTTAAATTTATCCGCTTTATAAAAAAAAGGAATAAAAACTGACCTCAAAGAACTTTAAAGATAAAGAATATAACATATAACCATCGAAATCGATTAGTATGGTAAAGAATTTTCGAAGAAAATAAGTTAATTAAACACGATAATAGCCGTATAAATCAGTTTCATTTAATGTGTAATGAATACCACTTAAAAATCATTACGAAATGACTGAAAATAAAAAAATGAGTTCAGTAGCGAGCCGCATATAGCCTTTTATATTCGATCCGATTACAAAAGTCGATTTCAGTCCAATCAACAAAAATTATTTTACAAAAAATCGCGAGATTCAGTCCTGCTGTAATATTTATTCATTTTATTAAAGATACCTTGAACTACGGGCACAATGGGCGGACTTAATATTGCCTTGTGGCATTCTCTGCCAGTTCAACGGGAGAAACAAAAGTTTCAGGGTACCAAAATGTTAAAAATAGACTTCTTATGTAGTTAGTTAATGTATTCAATAATGTGTCTAACATTACTGCCCATATGCGTCTCACTCCTGAGCACAGGTCTCTTATTTCTGAAAGGCTTTTTAGGGCAAAGAAAAGTCCACCGAGCTGCCGGAACATTACACGCCTTCGAAATATGTTTTTTTTTTTCTTAGACATGCAGATTTCCTTACAATACATTCACCGTTGAGGGCATGGTTATGAAAAAAATCAACGACACTCAGAATTTTACCATCAGACAAAGTTACTGCATTCTTAGACCTACCTTAACTCCATAAACTACAAAATTCAATTCACTATGGAGTTAGTCATTCGAAAT